ATGAATCTTTAATAAAGTATAACAAGAAAAGATATTTAGGTAATTTTGATAAGGGTGATTCTGAGCCATTTTGATTCTGGCCTAATGAAAGTGACATGTTTGCAGCTGGGATCATTGTAGGCAGGTTACCAAGTAGCACTGTTCTCCCATTGTTCATCAATTTGCTCAAGCGGGCACCAGTAACGTTGCACAACAAATTGTGAGACTTGTTGTTACTGGCTTTTTTTTGGGGGGGGACATATCTAATATGTCACAGGTAGCTTGCCAGGCTTTGCCATGAGGGCAAGATACTCTCAATAGCTTGCCGGGCTCTCCGAGAGTTTACCAAGTATCAAGGAAAATTACTTATTTTGAATAAATTTATTGAGATTTGAGTTAGAGACTAATTTTGTTACATAACCTTTTAGGAAACTACGGAAGTGAGTATTTCGATTACCTCTTTAAGTCTTGGGGTAAAAGTAAAAAAGTATCTTGAGTTTTCCAGTTCTTTTTTGACAGAAAGTGGGATTGAGATGGCAGGTAAATATTTGAATAGTTGGGGCCGGAGAGATAGTACAGCAGGAGGGGGCTTTGCCTTGTACACGGCTGACCCGGGTTGGATCCCAAACATTCCATATGGTCCCCTGAGCACCGCCAGGAGTTAGAGCCAGAAGTAACCCATGAGCATCACCATTTCTTTTTGGTGTGACCCAAAAAGAAATCTACAGAAATAACAACAACAACAACAAAATTTGAATAGTTTTCAGCATATTCACAGAAAATGCCCTTTCAGTATCTTATTATGGTTGTCATTTTATTTATTTTGCTGCTCTTAGAAAAAGTCCTTGAACTTTTTCGTTGATGGGAAATAAGAGATAAAACGAACTTTTTAATATTACTAGAAACACTAGTAATTCAGTGAGTTCTAGCCTTGTAAGAATGTTCATGTATAATTTAAATTCTGAAATGATGATAGCAAGTAACTCCATTTCAAAAAAGTAATTTATCAAAGGAAGGTAAAGTGTGGCCTGGTTGCACCTAATGAACACAGAATATTATTTTTTTGCTATTGTTTCTTGAAAATAGCATCACATTTTAAATTTTCTTGAAAAGTTAAAACCTAGTTTTAATAATAATGGTCAGTACTACAGTAAAGCTTTTTACTGTAGTAAAAATTTCTGTGTATAGTTTGCTGTTTTGCTTTACAGATAAAAATATTTCCACCTTATTTTATACTAGTTTAAACAAACCTTATTTGACTTTAAATACATGTTGAGGTCAGTAACGTTTAATTTAATGCATTGTTTAGTGATGAAGTAGGGTCGTTGACTATTTTAAGGTTCAGTTCTATGGAGTTCATGCCCAATTCAATCAGCTTAATCAATGGCTGAACAAATAGTAGTAGTCCTAAAAAAAAAAAAGGATTTAGTTCTGTAAAAATAGGTTATATTTCAGCCCATAGGTTGAAATATAACACTTTATTTTTTTAATTTATATTAGTGAAACACCATTAGGTACAGTTGTCACGGTCACAACAGTCACGGTCCTCCCGTTGTTCATCGATTTGCTCAAGCGGGCCCAGTAACGTCTCCATCGTGAGACTTGTTGTTACTGTGTTTGGCATATCGAATACATCACGGGTAGCTTGCCAGGCTCTGCCGTGCGGGCGAGGTACTCTCGGTAGCTTGCTGGGCTCTCCGAGAGGGGCAAAGGAATCGAACTTAGGTCGGCCTTGTTGGCTGCTTGCAAGGCAAATGCCCTACCCGCTGTGCTATCGCTCTTGGTTTTCAATTTTACAATGATCCAGTATCCATCCCTCCACCAGTGCCCATTCTCTACCACCAATGATCCAGTATCCCTCCTACCCCCCAACCCCCTCATCCCACCCCACCTCTCTGGCACGACATTCCCTTTTGTTCTCTCTCTCATTTTGGGTGTTGTGGTTTGCAAAAGAGGTATTGAGTGGCAATCATGTTCGGTCTGTAGTCTACTTTCAGCATGCATCTCCCATCCTGGGAGGATCCTCCCAACACCCTTTACTTGGTGCTAAATATAACAGTTTTGAGTGTTGAATCATAGCTATCCTCTTTTTATTGAAACAAAACCTTTGGAGTTGACTTTTTAAATGTATTATAAGGTTAAATTTTTGTGTGAGCTCTTCATTTTTAAGAAGTTACATCTCTTTTCCTTTATATACTAAAATACTAAATACAAAATCGGTTGAATATGGATAGTGGAACTAACTTTTAGAACTATTGCATTCTAGTTCAAGATAAAAGTATGCCACATTAGCCTGAATTAGGATAAGTGACTACAAATAAATTCAAAAGTGTTAACAGTATGACGAGAATCAGCTACTATTTTTAAAGAGGCACTTACCTAAACAAACTGAAACACTAAGGAATTTTCAAACTGTGAAGTACTGGGAATGAGCATTAAATGTGGACAAAGAAACTAGTACTAATGTCACCTTCCTTGGGTGTCTCATAAAATCATATTATGAGATGATCAAAAGGTAGAAAAGAGAAGATAATTTAGTGGCAGCCCAACAGATTACTATTCAGAAAGGTCAAACCTCTGAGAACTATTTGGGACTAGGACTAAAGTTAGAACTCCAGAGGTATACTTAGAATCAGTAAACATTCCCATGTAGGTCCTCAGTCACCTTTTTTTGTCTCTACAGGTTTATCTTTTAGCAGCTTTGAGACATCTCAGCTTGGATAAATCCTTTCCACCCAAGTCTTGCTTGACTTGGAAACATAGGCAGGACTGCTGTAACTTATGCAGCCGAGGGGCTGCGTGCCTTAGGATTAATACTGACTTCATAGCTGCACGCAGCTGTCAGCAATACCAACCCCTGTCCCTCCTCGGTACTGCAGTTTAAGATGAACATTTGTTTGATGTTTTTCTTCCACTCCCACAAGTCTTTACTACTACATCCCTATCCTCTAACCCAGCTCCTAGTGGGCACAGGAACCTAGTTTACACTTGGTAGATGATCGAGTGCCCAAAAAATACCTCCTAAAATCTGGTCATAGCACATTGGCAGTCTGACACAGGTGAGGGGTTTGCTATGGTTGGAGAGAGAAGCAGGGGCTAGATTGCAGAGGGATGTGAAGTCACGTGAAGTAGTGTGTGCCTTCCCACACAGCAAGGGGTTGAGAACTCACATCTCTCTGGTGGACACCTCCCTCCTTGACCTCTACCTAATTATCGAAAAATAATTCAGTAAAATAAGTTTTGTGAAAATTATTATATCTTATAATGGGGCCATTTAGTCCTTGTCTGGGGTTTACTGAGCTCTGTGTGGCTAGTTCCTCCGTCTGTGTTATTGGATTTGTTTCTTGAGCTTAGTTGGCTTCTATGCTACTTTCCCATCGAATTTGGTGTGCCCCTACTGGGTTGTCAGTACTGTGGAATTTGGAGACATTGCTCCTGGAGCTCCCAGATCTGTAGAACAAGGCCAGTAGCTTTCCATAGTGGCAGCTATGGGTGTGACTGCTGGGACGTCTGGCAATATGGGGATAGGGGGAGCTGAGGGAGGCTGCAGACCTCCACTCTGAGAAGACCCCAGAGTTCTCTGCCTGAAAACCCGTGTACCTAGACTTTTTGTCATTTTGGCATCTCTGCAGAGATGATTCGTGAAGCAATGGCATGGTGGTGGCTGTGGGGGTAGGGATGGCTCCCAAGGTTTTTCTTTTTAAATGTGCTTAATGTTCCTACTGTCTCACCCATAAGTTTATTTTTTGGTTTCTATCAAGGAAACTTTGATAAATATGTATATTTTATGCACAAGAATGTTCATCTTGGGGCTGGAGAAACAGCACAGCGGGGAGGGCGTTTGCCTTGCACACGGCCGTCCCGGGTTCAACTCCCAGCATTCCATATTACCCCTGAACACTGCCAGGGGTAATTCCTGAGCGCAGAGCCAGGAGTAATCCCTGTGCATCGCCAGGTGTGACCTAAAAAGCAAAAAATTAAAATTAAAAAGAATGTTCATCTTCTTATTATCTTTATTTTCGTAATTTGAAAATGCTAAGTGCTTAATGTCAGAATAATGGTTAAGTATATTACAGTTCATAACAGTGTAGCTTTTAGACATTTAAATATTAATTTTTAGTTAAATAACTCCTATAGTATTTATAGGTTTCAAATTTGGTATTATGTGCCCAAAAGTGAGCATCCCCTAAGCCAGGGTTGTGACTTCTACTTTTTTTTTTTTTTTTTTTTTTTTTGCTTTTTGGGTCACACCCAGTGGTGTTCAGGTGTGTTACTCCTGGCTCTGCACTCAGGAATTATTCCTGGAGATGCTTGGGGGACCATATGGGATGCCGGGGATCGAACCCAGGTCGGCTGCTCGCAAGGCAAACACCCTACCTGCTCCAGCCCCGTGGCTTCTACTTCTTGAAGGGATTTTAAATGATGATGAAAATGTTCATCTAGTTAGGCAGCACAAGACCCCGAGTGCCAATGTATCTCTTTTTATTTGGCTTTATCTCTTACTATGTAAATAGAAACTTTGAATTAGCAACTTGATTAGGTTTAGACCATATGGTTGAAGATAATTCATTTTTTATACCAAGATTTTTTCCCAGAAATTTAAAACTAGTTTTTTGTTTCATTTTACTATAATAGATAAGATTAGAAATAAGTTGTAGAATTATAATGAGATGGTTTATATATTTAGCTTACATTTTATATCTGTGTGTTTTTCAATGATTAACTTATAAGCTTGGAAGCTGAGGCTACAGTACAGTGGGTAGGACATTTGTCTTGCACTCAGCTGACCCGGGTTAAATCCCTGCATCCCATATGGTCCCCCGAGCCCCGCCAGGAGTAATTACTGAGTGCAGAGCCTTGGGTAACTCCTGATCATCACCAGGTGTCACCCAAAAAGCCAAAACAAAACTAGTAAGCCATTTGAGGCTACTTTCTAAAATATTGTTATTTTTTATATAAAATTATAGGAATAACTTGAGATTTCACTGTACTAAACAAGTTTGTTGATGTCTGTTTTTCAGATTGCAAATAGAAGAATCATCTAAACCTGTAAGGCTGTCACAACAGCTGGACAAAGTTGTGACAACCAATTACAAGCCTGTTGCTAATCACCAATACAATGTAAGTGTTCATGTCTTTATTCTGTCACATCTCTCTTCAACATAGACACTCAGATTTTGAAAGACCTTCAGCAGTCAGGCACTTTGCTATTTATCAGGAACCTGAATTATCCAAACTTGGTAAGAAACATGACAGTTTCCTAAAAGTAAATGGTGGGAGGGCTGGAGCAGTAGCACAACGGGTAGGGTGTTTGCCTTGCACGCGCCCGACCCGGGTTCGATTCCCAGCATCTCATATGGTCCCCTGAACACCGCCAGGAGTCATTCCGGAGTGCAGAGCCAGGAATAAACCCAGTGCATCGCCAGGTGTGACCCAAAAAGGAAAAAAAAAAGAAGTAAATAGTGGGACAGGGGGACTGGGGGAGGGACAACACTGAGAGTGGTGAAGGGAAGCAGACATTGGTAGAGAGTGTGGTGCTGGGAGTTTGTGTGCAAGAAACCCTATCCTGAACAGTTTTGTAAATCAGGGTGTCCAAATTCTGTGGGTTTTTTTTCTTTTGGGGTCACACCAAGCGATGCACAGGGGTTACTCCTGGCTTTGCACTCAGGAATTACTCCTGGCAGTGCTCGGGGGACCTTATAGGGTGCTGGGAATCGAACCTGGGTCGGCCGTGTGCAAGGCAAACGCCCTACCAGCTGTGCTATCGCTCTAGCCCCCTTTTTCTATTTTTTTTTTAATTTTTAGCTTTAAAAATTCTAACTTTAAAAAAATTTTAACTTTATGTGTGGTTTACAGAGTCGTTCATAATACAGTTGTTTTAAGCCATGCAATGTTCCAACACCAGTCCCACCACTAGTGTGACCTTCGTTCCACCGCTGTCCCGTTTCCCACCCACCTCCCAAGACTGCCCCTGTAGCAGGCACAAATCCATCTGTAATTGGGCACCTGGTTGTCATAGTATGGCTATTTTGCTAAGTGCAGCAGTGAACATGTGTGTTCATATATTCTTTAAAATTAATTTTCTTGTGTGTTTGGGGGCTATACATCCTTTTTATAAAGAAATGGTAACTCAAAATAAGTGGATACAAGTGTCAGATAATCTGAGACATTTTTTTGTCTATTGATTAAACAAATAGATAAAAGTCTACTTTTTTATATACTTATAGTCCAGATTTCTCAACTCTTACATTAAAATACATACAACATTTTGGAGCCAAATGGGCCTAGAAATAAAATGTGTATCTGTAAATTGTGATTTTTTTTTCGCATTACTTTTCTGTAGGAAAATTTTAGTGATTTGTTTCGAAAGCTTAGGGCTTATCACCTTTGACCTAGCAGTCCTGATGCTAAGCATTTCTCACAGTCAGCCAGTTGCTCCGTGTATATACACAATAATGTTTCTTGCAGCCACAAATGCTTTTTAAATTCCTTCTTTGTGTCTGAGATATCTGTTCCTAGGAAACCAAATAGATCAAAATGTGAATTTCGGGGGCAGCTACTTCTTTGAATTCTTTTGTTATGCCTTTTCAAATCAAACACCAGTTGAGATAGAATCTGAGTTTTCTTTGATGGAGTGAGTCCATATTTCTCTTATTATGATCATTTTCCCCTGCATTTCACAAGAAGGGTAACTCATTATGTGGTTGCAGATCATGATTTCTGAAACAAAAGGAAGATCTCTTCGGGGTCAGTCCGAGCTGGCACGTGCTGCTGTCTAGGCTCTGGCCTCTGCCTATATTCTTAACAACACTGGCCCTGTCACCGCCTTGAAGGTCACTCCAAACGTCCTAGTTTCAGAATGCCCTTACAGGGGCTGGAGCGATAGCACTGTCCTGTCCTTCCATTGTTCATCAATTTGCTCGAGTGGGCCCAGTAACGTCTCCATTGTGAGACTTGTTGTTACTGTGTTTGGCAAATCGAATATGTCATGGGTAGCTTGCCAGGCTTTGCTGTACAGGCGAGATACTCTCGGTAGCTTCCCGGGCTCTCCAAGAGGGGCAAAGGAATTGAACCCGGGTCAGCCCGGCGTGCCACGTGCAAGGCAAACGCCCTACCCACTGTGCTATCGCTCCAGCCAGTGAGTCATGTAGTCATCTTTTATTAGGGTTTTATATATATGAAATGAAGACTAACTATAATCTCCACATTGCATTATCTGAACATTTAGGGCTCTCCCCCCCCCCCACCCCCCACCCCACCGCCCGTACACACACACAGGAGAAAATGAGAGTGTAAAGCCACTGGCATAGCTCTTAAAAGCATGTTTGTCATTTTACTAAATTATATAATAAATATAAAACTTGGTTTCTTTTCAGACGATGATGTTGACTTTTCATAGATGGAGAAAGATTAACATAGTTTAAGAATTTGAGCATATGTAACCACGATGTTTTAAAGAAAAGGGCCAGGAAGATGACGCAGAGGGATAGAGTTCATGCTCTGTATGTGGGAGTCCCAGGTTGGATGCCTGAATACTTCTGGGTGTGTCCCCTGAGCAGGTAGAGTTCAGAGATACCCACCCTTACCCCCCACCCTCCAAAGAAGTGACTTTAAAATATTTAAAATATTTCTGTGAAGGCTTGTTTCTTCACTTTCGTGTTCTCCCTGGAACACATTTCTCTTACTCGCCTCAGTGTCTTTTTGCCTGCCTATTTCCATTCTAGAGAAAGTTGTGTTCTCTCTCAAACATGTACGTCAACCTTTCTCTCCCCTCACATATTTCTAAATATGTTTCAATAAAAACTTTTCTTGCTTCACAAAAATAATTAACTCTGCAAAGAATCTATAGGTAATCTTAATAGAGGTCGGAGGGATAGTATGACAGGTAGGATACTTGTCGTGCATGTGGCCATCCCGGGTTTGATCCCTAGAATTCCATGTGGTCCCCCACGACCACTAGGAGTAACCCCTGAGCATCACCAGGTGTGGCCCTAAATCCAACCCAAATAAAAGTAATCCTAATAAAGCAATTATATGAACAAGAAAGTAGAAAACCTTGGGGCTCTCTCCGCCCTTGGAGAAGCCTGGGTTCTCTCTTGAGCACAATACTCTCCTCTCTCTCTCCCACTTTCTCTCCCTCCTTCCCTTAAACTCTCCAAATAAAAACCGTATAATTTAAAAAAAAAAAAGTAGAAAAACTATCACTTCTCATGCTCTTAAAATAATCACTTTACCAGTAACTTTATGGGATAGAAGTGTATCATCAGATCTAACTTGAACTTGGCCCTTCCAACAATGGAAATTGTCGCTATCATTTCAAGTATGATGTCCTCACTTCATGTCATTGATGATTCAGGTAGTGTCTGTCGTGAAACTAAAAGCAACCCTAAATAATCCAAACAGAACAGGATTTGACGTACGGAATTCATTACAGATGGTTTACAGCTAAAAAATTGAAAAAGGGAGGAGGAGGTTGGTTATTGGATATCAGGAAGCTGCTGCCGCTGCTGGGTACAGCTCCCACAAGTACAGAAAAAGAAAAATTTCTCTTCCTCCTACTTTTATTCTACCAGTGGCAAAAAAAAAAAAAAAAAAACAGCTGGCAAGGAATTTTGGGGAGTATATTTTGCAGGTCCCCTCCTGCCATGGCTTCTGCAGTCTGGAGCTGAAGGCTTGGGCAAAATAACTGGCACTGTGACCCATGACCCAGGTGTGTGTTGTGCTGTGAATTGGTGATTGTCAATGCTCCACTCTCAGTTTGCCATTCACTTCAAAACTAAACCAGAACATGAGGCAGATCACTGTGTTTTTTGGGGTGCGAAGTCTTATAATTTTGACAATGAAACTAAAACTAGTTCTTCAAAACTTCATTTTTATTTCATCCCCTTTAAGTTTTGTTTGTCAATGCATAGAAATTTGCAAATGATATAGATTCTTTTTCTTTCCTTTCTTCCTTTCTTCCTTTCTTCCTTCCTTCCTTCCTTCCTTCCTTCCTTCCTTCTTTCCTTCCTTCCTTCCTTCCTCCCTCCCTTCCTTCCTTCCTTTCTTTCTTTCTTTCTTTCTTTCTGCTGTTTAAAGTATATCATCAAAATATATGACTGGCTGATTTGTGAAGGTCCTTTCACTTCCCTTCATCTGTGATTTCAAGTATTGGTGCATCTGTTTGTCTGATGCAGTGTGCATCATCTGCTGTCTCCCGAAGTGGGTGATAATACTGTCGTCACTTGCCCACAGGGGTGTGTGTGTGTGTGTGTGTGTGTGTGTGTGTGTGTGTGTGTGTGTGTTTGTGTGCACACGCGAGGGCAGGGAGGAAGGGGTTGAAGGGGGGGTGAGTGTTGTAGCAGCAGGTGCAGTTGGGAGGTATTTTTTGATAGTTTGTTTAAAGAAAGTAATATTCTACAGGGAAGAAGCAAGGCTGCGTAATAGTTTTCTGTAGAGGGGCCCATACACAAAACAAGTTTGGGAACCTCTGAGCAACATCAGCTATTAGTATAGAGAGTCCCCAAGGCTGGCTGGTCACTGGAGTCACCTGCAAAATATTTTCCTCTTCCAGTTATTGTTGTTGCGAGGCCTAAGTCCACATACTTCGTCATGGCCCTCTCTGGGGGTCACACATAACGATGGAGGTGCTTGCCCTTGTGTTCCCAGGTTGGTGGCGTTCATTGCTGTCTCACACATATGATTGTCTCACACATGTCGTTGCTCAGCATGTGACCACACTAGGAGTTTCAGATGGCGGAGCCACTGGACCATGCCCGCACACGTGGGCAGCACTATAGTTCTCATTGTTGGCCCTGTGCTTGCAGCGCAGGTTCTTTGGGGAGTTTGTTTTGTTTTGTTTCGTTTTGTTCTGTTTTGTTTGGGGGCCATGCCCCACAGTGCTCAGTTCTTACTCCTGGCTCTGCATTTGGGAATTACTCCTGGCTGTGCAAGGAAATCATATGGGATGCTGGAAATCAACCAGCTCAGCCATGTGCAGAGCAAGCACCCTATCTGCTGTACTATCTCTCTGGCCCCTTAAAGAAATTTTTTTTTTTGGCTTTTTGGGTCACACCTGGCAATGCACAGGGGTTACTCCTGGCCCTGCACTCAGGAATTAACCCTGGTGGTGCTCAGGGGAC